ATCAGTTCCGTCAAAATACCATGCTTTGTATGCAATGAGGAGAGTGCAGAATATGTTCGTCACATAAGAGAGGGTATAACTCGAAAGGTCCGCATGTGCACAAGTTTCTGCACCTACAGAGGCGGCGGATGGATTAAGGTCGGTAATTGCCCAATCAGTATGGATGTCACAGCCAAGTTCAAAAAGGCCAGCAACTATCTTTGTATGAGGAAACTTTCCCTCGGATGAAACAAGCGGTGCTTACTGAGAGATCCAAGCCAAGTCCCGAGGGGTATCACAAGCCATTGCCGATGACCTTTGTAGACTGTCCACGTTCTCCAAACAACCACTGAATCGCCAAGGATTAACTGAGCAAAATTCAGTGCCGTCTTTAGCGGAACGGCCTAATATTAGTGCACTCACCATAAAGATAAACAGCATCTCTCCCGTCCACACTGTCTTCTTGAGCTGGTCATTTGCTCGATCAAGTTTTGTCTGAAGTGTCTCGTCGGGGTTGTTGATCATAATGATTTGCATGCGCCGGACGAGATCCGTGGTATCAAGCGACAGGAATAAAGTCCCGCCCAAAAACATTAAGACCGTCACAACCATAAGAAATGCATTTGAATGGCGGTATTTGGCTTGTCGTTGGCTAAAAAGCGGTCAGGAGAAGCCATAACATTGAAAGCACAACAAACTGGAATATTCCGATTAAGAAGCTCATAAGGATCAAGTAAATGCCTGTTAGTAGGGTCAGTGCCTTGCAGGTTGTATCTGAGGCAACGCACCATAACATATGGCGCCCGAAACAACGCGAGCGATTTTCAAGTTGAAGTCTTGACCAACCTCTACGAGGACTTCTGCATTACTTGACATGAGGGGAAGCGTAGAAATGCACTGATGGGGCTGCTTCTCTGGCGGGGCGCTGAAATAGGTGAGAGGTAAATCATGGTGGTGTGAATTGTCATCGGCACGCTGACATTCCGAAGCAGGGTCCTATTCGACGTTTCATTCTCAGAACCGACTAAAACGCAACGAGGTTGATAGTGAGCGTCACTGCTCCACTCCTGTCAATATTCTCCCAGTGGCTGAAGCATGGCTATTGAGAACGACATTCAGTAACATGCAAAGGATAGAAGTGAGGTTCAGCTCAACTTTTTAGATTTCAAGCTGGGTATCAAGCTGGGTAGCGTTACTCAGTAGATCCGCATGATGCAAAGATACCAGGATCATTGATATGCAAATGATCGCGCTAACTGGGAGAGGATGGTTTCCATCCCATGCCGCCAAGCCTTGACAAGCTTGACATATGGCAACAATAAGAGTATTAGATGTGATTTTGGGGCTGTAAAGAGTAATAGTATGGTGTCGCAGTTGCGCACGGTGTATCGGAAGTCGCGGAAGAAAATGTTGTTTAACGTTTAAAATTTTAACGTTTGACAAGATGGAAAAGAACAAACCAAATTTAGATGATCACAATTGATGATAAGACAGCGCGACATCAGTTATCAATAATGTTTTGGGCTAAGTTGTACGATAGAACCAGCGCAACTATTTCAGAATGGGACAATCGTTAAACGTCCAATAATAAACTAAAGGTTCAGGCCTCAGGGCTCCAGCTGGGAAAGTCTACCTGATAACTGTTTCAAGACAATCCGTGATAGCATGTTCTAGTTTCACGTTAAATGATATCGATGCAAGGTGATAGAAATACACATGTGAGCACTGGCATGGTTCCTAAGTATACAATTTAAGCCGAGGGTGTAGTCTTTGAGAACGCAGGATGGGAATGGAATATGATTATCTAGGATCGTGATGGGGATCTTCACCGCCCGAAAAGTCATTTAGGACCTCGACGCCCACATTACAAAGCCTGCGGAGGTTCTCCACGTCGATCTCATCGGATCGTAGGGAGACATCGGCCAGTTGCGAAGATTTTAGTCTAGATAGCACAACGTCATGAAGAATCGTTGGATCCACGTCGTAACATTCTAGACGCGTTAGCGTCGCGCAAGGTGTTGGCTTCGAAGACGAAGAATCTGAGAATGGTAGAACAAGGGCATCAAGAGCGTTGTCAGTTCGGTATATCCCCAAGAAATTGAGTTCGTGAAGTTCGTTGAAAAGTCGTGAGAAGGTTACGGTGTTGGATGCAATTGCGATGAGTTTTAATGAGTGGATGCTGGACATTGGGAATGGATAATGAAGATTTGATTCTTGATGAGGGTCGCGGGAAGGTGTGATTCGCTCTAAAATGGGTGTGGCGTCAACGTCACGCAGTGTCAAGGCATCTAAGACTGCAAGACCCTCGACGGTAAGTTCCTTAAGGGAAGGGAACAGGAGTTTATCCAGGAGTTTTACGGCGTAGTCGGTATCAAGGAAACCAAAGATAAAATTGGTGACATGAGGCAGCTCGATCGCTTGTGGGGCCGCCTTCAGGGAGAAACCGTCAGGTCCTTTGTCTCTCAAGAAGGAATGCCCCCCTGAGGGAGTATCGTCGATCCGTGGACCTCGCCCCATGATGGTCAGGTATCGCAGATTTTGGCATGCTTTCGATATGTCGGTAAACTCGTCCATGGTTGGAGTAACATCGCTGGCAAGATACCGAAACTCGAGCTTTCTAAGATTGCGCAATGACGACGATACCCAGTCGACGTGGACACCCGTCATGGTAACTGTACGCAACTGTTCTGCAACATGTCCCCCAAATAATTGTATCGGCTTTTTCATCTCTACCGGATGAAATGTAGCGTTCTTGGAGGCAAGGAAAGCGTTACAACGATGCAGGGATAAAGACTTGAGCGCTGGCAAAGATTTGACGCGACGAGTATAGCACAGGAAGGTGAAGATAGGTGCCCATGTATCAGTAAGAAGCTCGAAACACTTCCATCGTGAGACATGAGGCATTAAGAGTCGGAGAATTGCTTCCATATCCTGCCAACGAAATTTGTGCAGAGATTCGGCGAGATCCCAATCCCATGAGGGATCACGGAAGTCGAGGAAAATGTCGAGAGGCGCCAACCTCGAGCGCTTCAGCCATGTAATAACGAGAGAAAGCTGTTGGCGCGAAGTAGGGAAGGTGATGACAATAGTTGTCCAAAGAGCGCCCGTAGCGATGGCAACATTTCGCCAGCGGACTGAAACCTGTGAGATGACCATGGGTGCTGAGATCATCTGAGAGCGATCTTCAGCGTTTTGCAACGCGAATATGAAAATTTCGGAGAGTAATTCATTGGGAAGTCGAGCTAGCGGAGGCGGTTTGGGAATGCAGCTAAAGCTCCCAAATAATCGCCGTGCATTGAGGGTCGTGTGGGGAAGTTTTTCATCAGCCAGTTTTTTAACGATCTCTGCCGCCATCGTTGCTTTGAGGCTGCCTGAGCAAAGCCTTCAGTAAGACGTAAAAACGCAAAGCAAGCGGCATCGAACGCACCGAGGTCCAGACTGCCCAAAGGCGTAGCAAAAACCTTGAATGCCTGCATGGCAAACTCTTTATATATGATCAGGGAAACGGGTATTTGTCATCGTGTTGAATATTGTACGCGTGGAGAGACGATACGAACCTAGTCATCAATGTACCTGTCAGGCCCCTTGGGACGAGTTGGAAAATGGCAACAAACGGGTAAATCGAGAAGTATTTTTTTCGCGGAATACAAGAGGAGAGTCTGCAATTGGAAATTCGGGTCCAATAATCACCCTTTCAACACGACATGAGGCGACTTGCGACCCTCCGATGTTTGGCGACTTGTAGGCACATATGTATGGGTCCAAGCGTGATGGCATAATGTGCGGTTCAAGCGCTTGCACAAAAATTGATGGCCCATTGTTCTCTCAAACAAGTGATTGCAACAGTTATCTCCTCCAGTATTCTCGACGTCAAGTGCAATGCTAGATCAAAATATTCGAAGATGACTCCAGTCATCTGCCATTTCCAGTACATATGTCGGCGGAGTCAAGGCCACTGGCGCAAAAGTGCGGAAAATGATAGGCATTTCAAATACGGTGCACGGACCACCGATTCCGAGGATCCAGAAATCAAACTGTAACAATGCGGTTGCGCCTCCCGTTGGAATAACAAGACACAGGTGTAGGTCCAATTCCACATTCGGAAGCCTAAAGGGTTATCCAAATCTAATATATGTAGAGAGAATAGCTGAGAAGCGACAAGTTCCCATTGTGAGTCATTAAGACAGAGTACTCAGGTGACAGACCATGGCCATATGAATCTCTCAGCCTTCAAACAGATGCCACTGTTCGAAGCAGAAGAAAACATGTGCTAGCAAAACACGTTCTGTGGCCCAGACAGGCGATCATGAGTTCTAGGAACTTGATAACAAAATCCACGGCGGCGATGGTGTGGCATCTAAGTAATCAACGGTCATTCCGACTCATTCATCCATTTATTGCTCAACACAATCACCTCGAGGCCGTGTGGGTGTCCCGAGATTCAAGAAGCATCAGATTGAAGCCTTTTCCTGGATTCATCTGATTAGTAGTGCTGCGCTGACGTTGTTGTTACCAGGGTGTATACGTACGAATTTGAATCACAGGTACTCGTGTCAGACTCGGAGGTGGATCACTTCACTACCATGGGTACCCAATCCTTTAAACCTGGGGAAGTGGCGCGGCGTGCCTGAGACGTGAGCTGCATATACACACAAAAACGACTTGGAAACTGGTAAGCCTGTTCATCAGCGGGCAGATGACGGGTTTATCATGCGGTCTGAATCAAGGGGTCGTATATGAGAATGAGGGATGGTATTTCACGGAATAAGAGACAAACTGTCTCTGGGATAATGGTCGATTGGCCTGGGAGACTTGGAGGAACACTCTGATCTGACCGTTAAAGTCCAGGAGGATGGCCGTGAGAAAATGAAACCACTGATGTATTAACAGCACTGTTTATTGAGCGAGAATTTCAATCCAAGTCCACAGCCCTCACTTTAAACTAGTAACTTGCAGAATGGTAAAGAGAAGCACGTCTTTTGTTCACACCCACAAAACAAAATGTACTCATCTCTGGAAGAAGGCGCTACCAGGGTTCGAACCTGGGTTTCGGGAAGACAATACGCTTCAAAATCCCGAGTGATAACCACTACACTATAGCGCCGTGATGATCAGACCAAATATGTTTAAATAACACAAGATTAGATTTTCTTGTACCTTTTTGTGAGCCTGGTCGCTTCGCCTTGTGCAGTGCAGCTTATGACTCGTGACGAGCAATACTGAAAGAACGGAGGCTAGCGCGCGCTAAACCCTTGTCTGCAGCACACGTTGTCCTGAATCGGATTCGGGATGAACGCTACGTTAAGCGCATCCTCAGCATTTTTGAAATTCGGTTTTCAATAATCCAGGGTCGCATGTGTGGCGGGAGCGGGGGTTTTTAGCGTTTGATATTTCTTTGAGATTCG